CTCTCTCTCTCTCCCTCTCTCTCCTAAACCGAAGTACCTAGTGATTGGGTGTGGGGCAGTTCAGACCCCGTTTTGCGCCTAAAAGGACGGAACCATATCACTGTATGGTGTGCTCCGGAATAAGTGCTTCCACTTCTAGGAGTTCGGGGCTCAAGATTTGGGGAGTTAAGCTTCAAGACAAGATAGCTGGCTGTGGGCACTGGGCGTTTCAGGACTTAGGGGTCGTGGGTGACATTCCAGGGTTCGGATGGTTTTATGAGGTTCTTATAGTTTACCGAAACGCTGCAGGCTCATGAGACTTCGAACAATCCAAACCAAGCGTGCTTTAGAATCAAGGCCTTCTAGTCGTCTACTACTACTACTNNTCCTGCTGCTGCTACTACTACTACGACGACTACAGGAGTCTGAAGATTTGGACAAGGTACACCTTGGACTCCCTATACCTGCATATGCACTTGTTTTATATTTGTTTTATCGTTTTAGACCCTACACCTTTAAATACACCAAACCCTCAAGCTTATGCCCTAAACCCTAAACCCGAAAAACCCGAAAAGACTCGCGATTTCTGAGGAGATCGGCTTCTTCCTCGGCGGATCTTTGCCGCCTCTTGGAAGGCTTTCTTTTGGGTTTAGGGTTTGGGGTTTGGGGTTTTTGTGGGTTGGGATTTAGGAGTTTAGAGGCTTTTGTGATAGGGTTTCGAGTTCAGGGTTTGGGGTTTGGGGTTGAGGGATTTAGGGGTTTAGTGTTGAGGGCTGACCGGTTGAAAGCCCGCGGTGAGTGGGTCAAATCTCATGGGTCTGGGTTCCCAGACGTGCAGACAGAGGTGTTTAGGGTTTAGGGTTTAGGTGAATATTATACGCCCCTGTACGCTCTAGTACTTGGAGGATCATGGGACTTAGTAACTATGGGGTTATAAATAAGGTAACTAGACGTATAGTTACCTATACACCCAATAAGTACCAATCGCGGGGTCTCGGGTCATGAGGCGTACGTAAGAACGGGTTCCAGTCCGAGATTCCCGAACATTGGAGTGAGAAGCATCTATTGTCCGAGGATACTTATAGCCTTACTTGCTAGGTCCCTGATCCTCCAAGTATACCGCACAACCCTATAGTTTAATCGTAAAGGCTCCCGAAAGCCCTACACCCGAAAACGTAAACCCCAAAAACCCTAAACCCTTTACCCTAAGCCCTAGCCGCATAGCGATCTCACGAGGAGCTACGGCTCCATGCTGAAACTCTCGTTGTCAAGCATCGTTGCAGGTGTGCTTTTAGGGTTTAGGGTTTTGGATTTTAGGTTATAGCGTGTAGGGTCCAGTGTAGGGTTCAGGCAGACGTCATCTACAACTGTTGCCGATACGCGCGGATGACCGCCCAAGGCCATGAGATCGCCGATCTGCTTTTGCTGGCTGGGCTGCGGACGTCACCAAGTCCCTCTGGGTTTGCGAGAGAGAGGATGGCGGCATACATCGACTGACGGTCTCGGGTCAGTCCGTGGATGATCACGAGGCTGTTAACATGCGCCAGTGGTCAGGGATATTCCCAAACCACCCTCGTCCCGTACACCCACCCTAAATCCACCAAGCCGTTATTCGTCAAGGGAAACAGCTGGTTACCGGACCTAGGTGAGTTAGTCATCTCATGCAGTGTTACCGATTGCTTCAAGTGCAACCTAAACCCTGGACCCTAAACCCTACAAGCCCTAACCCCACATATCGGTCAATAGTCAATGGCCTCTGAGTTTCCCGAAAATCAGGAACCGTGAAAGCTTAGTTAGCCCGCCAAGCTCTAAACTCTGCCTACAGATTTTAGGGTTTAGGGCCTATTTCGAAGCGCCGAGCGCCAAAATCTCAAGGCTTGACCCTGGCGACGTTCCTGCCAGTCCTTACATGCGGTCTCGATGCCCTTACAACCACTGCAAACAAATACACCGCCTTGACGCACACTACAGCAGATTCCTACGACGCATTGCTCGTATCAAAGCCTCATCTTACTCTCATGTCACCGAGTACCCCAAACTGCTAACACCTCAAACCCGAAGCCGTAAAACCCTAAACCCGAAACCCTAAACTCCAAAACCCAAAACTTCTCTAAACCCTAAACCCGGCCACTTTGTTCACATTTCTGGCGAAGGGTTTGCAGCTTAGCCCTGAACCCTGAGACACCGATTTCGGATGTAACTCGCTTTGCTCTCTTTCGCAGCTTTAAGGTTTAGGGTTTAAGGGTTTGAGTTTAGGGCTTAGGGCTTAAGGTTGAAAGCATGTCCTAGGTATCTGAGTACTTAGACCTAGAGGGTTTAGTGTTCAGGGTTTACGGACTTGGTTCAGTTCAGATTTGAGGGTTTGGGTTTCTACCTGCAGCCGATCCAAGACGGTTAGAAGCAGAGTTGTGCTTCCGACAGCAGGAAGTCCAACTTGATTCGTGCCCTTGTCGCGACAAGATATCGACATATCCCCCTAAACCCTCAGGCCCTAAACCCTCACCCTAAGGGTCCAAGTACCTAATAATCATATACTCTTCTGAATACTAACCTACAAAAAATACTATCCGTAACTCAAGTACATGATTATCAGGTCCTTTGGACCCTAAGGGTAAACCCTAACGATTTCTGCGAAGCTTGAAAGCAGGCTTAGGGCAATGCTCGGGCCTCGGCTCTCCAGCATGAGAGGTGGGTGTTTGCTTTGGGGGTTGAGGCTTAAATCATCTTAAACAAGGTTTAGGGCATAGGGTTTTTAAGTTACCAGAATACAGAAACCATACTATTTACTATAGATCCTTATTATGGTAACTTAAATTAAATCCCTTAGCAAGAATCCAGTAAATGCTATGTCCTAACACCTGAGACCGTACGTAAGTGCTCAGAGCTATGCAGGCCACTGACGATGGAAGAGGCAGAGGAGCACATCTTCGGTGCCTGGGTCGAAGTCACTGTGAGTTTGCACGCGCTCTGCGGATTATTTAGGCTCTACCCAGTTGTTTGGGCTTATGGCCTATAAGTTATAGGTTTCAGGTCTGGGAAACGAGAAAGGGTTTTTGGGATTCAGGGGTAGCTGCCCTCCAGAAGCCAGAATCCCGGAAGGTCCAGCGCGCTCAACCCGGTTTAGGGCTTGGGGGTTCGAGGTTTAGGGCGACCCCGGAACCCTACACCTTCAGCTCTTGCCTAAATCCTGAAGACTGTAACGGAGGATGCACCTGAGCTTCCAACATCCCTTCTCGATCTTGCTTAGCATTACTTGAAGATCACTCCGATTTTTGTTTCTTAGTGCCAATATACTACAAACAGCACACGTTCTGGTCTCTCGACAGGAAAACCTTGATCGACAACCCCTCCACCGCTTCTTCAGGGACCCTAATTTTCGGATCCTCGCTAATCCTTTACTGCAAAAGAGAGGTAGTTCGTGTATCACGACGCTACAGTAGCTGCAACCCCTGCACCTGACGACCAAAACCCTGAACCCTAGAACCACTTCAGGCTATGTCGTGATGAACGACTGGTCTGCCAGGGACATCCAAGCCTGGGAATATGCAGCTGGGCTGCGTGAAAATGGAGGGCCGTGTACTCTTTCCTGAAGAACTAAGGAATTACGTGAACTCAACAACAATTGTTTTTTTGAGCCCCTAAACCCTAAACCCAATTGTTTTTAAGAGCATTATCATGTACAAGACTCTCATGATCAGGAGCTCTACAAACTGAGGTATCTCAGGCTTCAGGCAAGGGTTCTATCCGGAAGTTGGAGCCAAGAACTGTGCGACTCGTGATTTCCCTAAACCCTAAAACCCCAAACCCTAGAAGTTTCAGTGTTTACCACTCACAGGCCGCATGAGATCAGTTTTAAAGGGTCTTAAGTAGCTGTATAGTAGAATTTAGGGTCCGCAATTAGGAATTACTATTAAGATTTTGGGACGTATCCCCCGTAACAGCACTTAGGACGAGTTGGGACCCGAAAGCCCTAACCCAACCCTAAAACTATCACCCTCAGCCCAAAACCCCAAGCTTCACCCTAAGCCTTCAACCCTAAAATCCCTGTATATCTCATCCCTAAACCCTCAACCCGTAATCGCAGACTCTAAACTTATTTCTACTTCAGGTTCCTTAAATTACAACATAGCATGCTATACTAAACCCTCTTCTAATGATTAAGGACCTATACCCTACACCCTTATAGTAGCCCTTGTATAACCCTTTCAAGAAGCCTTTAAAGGAACCCTGTTCGAATCATGATTGAACCCGTTTTTCTGAGGTCCCCCTTGGCCCTTTCGGCGCCAAGAACTTCGCCACGACGATCTCTCCGTGGGTGGTGCGGGGCTCGGGGGCCCCTTTTAGGGGTTTCGGGTTTAGGGTTTAGGTGTTTAGGCTTCATGGAAGTATGAAGGCCCCTAAACCCTAAACTCGTATGGTAGCCCTTATAGATCCCAACCTTCATGGAAAAGGCCCCTAAACCCGAAACTCGTATGGTAGCCCTTATAGATCCCTTTAAGGAACCTTATCTTAGTCCTCCAATACCCAACCTTTAAACTTTCTGGGTTCTTATCACCTAACAGCAATCGGAAAGTTTGAACTTTTATTTCCCTGGCTTATGGGGAAGTAAGTTATGAGGGTTTAGGGTATAGGGTTTAGGTTTCATGGCTACGGCTTTGGAACTTGAGGCTTCAGGTTTGAACTCCGAGCTGTAGGGTTTGGCCTTTAGGGTTTAGAGTTTAGGGCTTAAGGGTTCAGGGTTTAGGGTTTAGGGCTTTAGGCCATAAGGTTCACGGTTTGGGGTTTGTGCAGGGGTTAGCGGTTTCGGATGTGATTGCAGGTTCTGGGGTGCCGGGACCGGGTTTCAGAATCGTTACGATTTCAGGGCGTTTGAGCATGGAGGGTTTCGGGTGGGGTCAGGGTTTGACGGTTTTGGAGTTCAGGGCTTGAAACCTTAGACAATAAACCCTAAGCTCTAAATTATAAACCCAAAACCCTAAAGGTTCAGGGTTTCCTTGCTTAGCACATGAGAGTCGTAGGAGTTCGGGCTCGGGGCTCTCTAGTGCAATTTCTGCATTCCAACAACGAGAGTCGCTTGGGACCTGAACGGTTGGGTGTGGTTTGTGTTTTTGGCTTGCGAGGTGTAATGTAGGAGCCTCAACAATTACCAATATTATTTTGGGGGGTTCCTTTTTATAATGTTGGTATAATGGGCCCCAATACCCTATTCTATTTATTGAAGGCCCCTACATTCTAAACTTGTATTGTAGCCCTTATGGAAACCTTAACGAACCCTTTAAGGAACCCTTTAAGGGACCCCCAAAACCCTATTCTAGTCATGAAGGCCCCTACATTACGGAGTTAGGGTTTCCCTAGACCCTAAACCCTAAACCCTATACCCTAAACCCTATACCCTAAACCCTAAACCCTAAACCCTAACCCCCCTAAACCCTAAACTCTATACCC